TGCCCTTGTTAAACTGCATTAAATTTTTTTGTGAATAAGTAGAAAGCTTCTAAGGCACCTGTCCCTCCAGGGGCTAGACAGAAGACTCATTTTGAAATGGAAACTAATATTGGGCATAAAGGAAAGTGTCCATTAGTTGTCAGCAGTAGTTGTACATTTAAAAATAGTTTTTAGATGGCTACAGTCGTGTTGTGTGTCCTGATGCAGTGCAGGGAAACCTATATGCTGTTGCATGACATGCATGGAAGAAATTTTGTGCAAGAGGTACATTGAAATTACAGCCTGTGTTGTTGTTAAGCTTGTGAATCCTCACTTCTCTCTCACTGAATTGCATGTTGGATCTTACCTTGCACAAGCACGACCGGTCAGGGGAAGCATCATACAAAGTAAGCAAGAGATGGGAAGCAATGTCCTCAAGAGGAGCACACTGGGAATTAGGAGACCTTTGCTTTTTGCCAGGGACCTGCTAGGCGAATCTAAGCATCTCAATGTCTCCGTTTTTCTCTTTGTTTACAACTGAGCCAGAACACTGCAAAGCATTATGTGCAATACTGTAGAGGTCTGCAAAACATTAAGTTTAAATACTAATATTTTATTGTAATAACCTGAAAAATATTACCAGGGTGCAGATTGGTTTGTAAATGCTCTATTTTTCTTCTGTTTGGAAAAGCTGTAAGCTTCTAGTTTGTGGGACTTCAGGAAGGCACTTAAGCACGCATTTGAAATTAAGCATGTGCATTAGTCCTTTTCTGAATACACAAAGCTTTTAATTAGGGCTTGTAGCTAGCCTGTTTGATTGTCTAAAGTATGAATAGAATATGCTTGGCAGGGGAGAAGCCCTGCTTTTCAGGCACATACGTATCCTGTTGGTAGAAGTTAATAAATAAAAAACCTCCAGTTAGCCATGCGCTAGTGTGACCTTCCATCTCTGAGTCCCCCTCTTCCCTTGCTGCGCAGGATGCTGAAGTAGGTTATGATCAATATGATTAGTGCAGTGAGTGAATGTAATGATGCTAATGAGCCATTTCTTTATAACGATCAGGTTCTCCAGCCCTGCCCAGCAACATGGTATATTTTGGAAGCTCTCAGGATGATGAGGATGAAGAAGAGGAGGAGGAGGAGACAGAGGACACAAAAACAGCCACAAACAATGCTTCATCATCATGCCAGTCAACCCCCAGGAAAGGAAAAACGCATAAACATGTACCAAATGGGCAAGGTAGGTCCTAGATTGTGCTGTTCTCCTGCACTGCCTAGTGAAGAAGTGTGTAAACTGAACATGCTTAATCCTTGTCCATCCTTCTGGGTCTGAGTGAAAAAAGGATACAGGCCATAATGGGAAAATGGAGTGAGATGTAGTGTTAGTATCTTCTGCTTTAACCTGTTTTCCCCTGAAAATTTGAACTCTGTCTGTGGCAGAACTGTAACTGCAGGGCTGAAATTAGATGTATGTACACACATACTGGAGGTGTATACACACACACGTGTAGACACATACAGTCACTCTTTTTTTTTTTTCTGAGACTGATGTTTAACCTATAATTATTTTATTTTATCAAAGTTAAATATAAGCATTCATAAGCGTTATCGAAACATGTGACACTGAAGTTCTCACATGCAATACTGATACCACAATTGCAGTAGGTTAAGATACTGCATTCATGTTGTTGATTGAAAGATTTTATGGAAGAAGCTATTTCAAGTCAGTTATTTCTTTGCAAATCAACAAAAGCTGCATTCATTGCACAGTATTTCTCTCACAATGTCCTTGTGCCGTATCTTGATAAATGGATCCATGTGTTACAACATCACCTAGTGTACAACTGAAAGCGTAAAAGCCACACTGAAAATTTTGTGAGCTTGCGATAATGCTCCACTGCCGAAGTCCTATGTGATGTGGTTCTCTCTCCAGCAAGAGCTCTTGTATCATAACAACTCTGTGCCCCTTCCTGCCTGGTATAATTTAAAAATATGGAGCCTGTGGTCTCTGATCCCTTCCTTAGTATTAGTTTACCGTAAAAATTTTTCCTTCTGGTGACTGCCCATTCAGCTTTCAGAGGAAGGTCTCTCTGCAGCGTGCTTTTTCAGAGATGCTTGTGATCTGTGCCTGCTTTTTTCTGTTCTTTCGTGTTACACTACTCTGAAGAAGAGATTACTAGATCCCAGTTACTTCACCATGCTGGTCCTCATCTCTGCTTTTCAAAAGGGAGTTCTCTATAAAGGACATCGTTGTTACATACACGAAAATTGTTTTTCATGAGTACATCTGAATCTGTTTTTTATTGCACACCCAAGCTCAAAAACTCTCTTCTTGTGAACCATTTGTGGAGAAGTGTAAGGGAACATTACACCTAATAGGATTTCAGCTGTGAGCAGGAGCTTTAATACTGTAAAAGCCATGGATCAAAACTTGGCGTTTGGGATTGATTTCTAAATAAACGCCCCAAAATAACAGGCACAAAACTCTACATATGGAAAATGAGATAGCGTGTAGCAGAAGTGCTGCCTTAGAGTTTTCAGTGTGATATATCATTACAAAAGGAGCTGATCGTGTTCCTTGAGAATGTCCCAGATGGCAGCCACTTTGAAATTAGCTCAAAACCAGAGACACCTGAAATCTTAATTGGGGGTAAGTAAAGGCAAATTTAATGAGCCATCTAATGGCTTCATAATCTTTATCAATATAGATCAGAGTGAGGATAAATGAAGCTGCTGCTTTAATAGATCTGCAAAAGACCTTTATAAAATTCTAGGAGACAATGTGAGATGTTTTGACAAAGGTGATGAAACAGGAATTCCCAGAGAAGGCAGCTGCTTCTTTGTCATTGCCATTTCTTTTTTTTTTTTTCTTTCTTTTTTTTTTTTTTTTTTTTTTAATTACAATTTCCTTACCCAGGGGTATTCCCATTTTTCAGTGTCTGTTATTTTGGTTGACAGCCAATAGTATTTTTGTTTCCTGTGAATAAAGTAGTTTCTGGTTCACGTGTGTCTGTTTTAAATGAGACCACACACAAAGGCAGACCAGGGACGGGTGCAGCAAATGAACTTAATCTAGCGTGAGAGTCTATTTTTAATGAATTAAAGTCTTTTGTTTTTAATAGACAATGTGTAGTCAAGCACTTTGGACCTGAAAATGCTAAGCGTTTGCTATGACATACAACAACAAAGGTTCAGAGCTTGATTAGTGTCATTAGACAGTGTCAAATGATTCCTTTCTACTAGCTGGGGACCAAAACAACTTTCCTGGGTGAAGTCATTTGTCAATATCCTCTTCTGATGCCAGTATGGGGCGTTATTAGGGTAGCACACCAAACTACTTGTTAGAACCTAGCCTGTTAAGCCACCTTTTGGAGAGCTAGATCAATTGAAAACACATAAGTATGAATAAGAAGCATGTAAAACGCATGGCATAGCTTGCTGCACAAATTGAAGTGATTAGCTCAACTGACTTGTCACCTTCCAACCTTACTGCTTACACAGATATGTTTAAAGCATCAGATTGTTACCTGTGCCTTTTCATCCTCCTTTCTTAGTACTTCTGATGTGCTACACACATATCCCAGCTGTTAAAGAGCAAAGTCAAGTGCTTGGCGGAAGCGTTTATCCTTCACATTCATGAGAGTGTGGAAAAGGGGCGTGTAGCAACGTGCAAGTCTTTGGTTTGTGCAGTATCTTTTTGCAGGCAGTGATAGCCTTGTGGTTAAACCATTTTCTAAGATAATTGCTGCGGTTGCCACAAGGGAAAATGGTAGAGCCATGCTCTTAAGAATTGGTTTCATGTCATTGCCAAACTTCAGCTGATTAGGCCGGGTCTGACATGCGTTAAGATAAGTTAGCAGCTGATAAAGGCTTGGATGTCATTGGTGGTGCTTTGTGCCTTGGTTAGAAGCTAGTATTAGTTCTGGGTAGGTCAATCTCATGTCATGTGGGTTGTTCTGCATGTAACCCTTCCCGTTACTGTCTGTTTCAGCGTGCTTCAACTTAAAAAGAACAGTTCTCCCTAAGAGAAGATACTGTCTAAAGACTTTCAGGTTTTAGAACCCATTCTCTTGTAGTGTAGAGTAAAATGTGTGCATGGTTCTCACTTGCTTGTGGATTGAAGTATGATCTTGCAGCACATGTCATAGATTAATTCAGGTCATAAAAGACCCCAGGAAGTCATCTAGTCTGACCTCTTCTGCAAAATACCATTGATATCTTTTCTGACAGATTCAGCAATAAAATTGGCAGAGGTTTGTGCTTTTAATTATATATGTCTTTTGAGGAGGGGGACATTTTAGAAGCTTTCTAAAATTCAATGTGGAATTTTGGTCCTAATCAGAATGATTTTAATTGAGGTAGGATTTATAGCAGGGTCAAAATGGTAAAAGGCCAGAAACTAATCAATGGAGTCACTTGGTCTCCATATAGCTACTGAATTCAAAAGGATATTCTTGCAGCTAAGAAACTGTATGAACATTTAGTTGGAATAGAGAAATCCCTCTTGCTATTTCAGTCAAGAATTTCGTCTTTTTCAAGCATGTAGTTCTCTTTTAACTTCAGACCTTCTAAGTAAGTTTGTGGTGAATTTCAGCATTAACATATGGAAAATTAGGGATGATGTGATGCTGCATATTTTAGCAGACAGAGCAGGGGTTTGGATGACTGTGTCGTAATTGCAGCCCTATTGCTGACCCCGTGGAGTGTGGGTGTAGGAACCCTGTAATTCTCAGTGTTTAGATCCAGAACGCCCAGCCACGGGATGCCTGTGTGCTGCTCAGATGGATATGCTTATTTTCCAGCTTGCATTTTGTACGCATCTCAAATGACCATCAGTCTATCTGAGACTATTACATGGCTTTGAACGCAAGGAATTCAGTGGAAGGAGCCAGGCAGGAGCATTGGCTTAAGCAGTTTTTTTCTTAAATATATCTGCCAGGTGTGGGGAGAAACTTCTCAACTGCAGCCTGGATGACAGGGCATCTTGCCAACACGGAGGAGGAGATGCAGAGACATTGATCTATTAGAAAACTGACCTTATGCAAAGGGAGGAGGGTGTTGGTCATCAGCTGCTGCGGGCTGATGTGCAGGGAAAGCAGGTTCTCCGCAAGCGAGCTGTACGCTGCTTCCCTGGGGGACAGGGAGGTGCTGAGTCAAAATTACATCTCCCCACTGCTCGGAGGAAATTCCAAGTTGTAGGTAAGAGGGTAGGCCTAGGTCTCTTGTTTCTTTAAAACATTCTTTGAATTCCTCCTGACTAAATAAATCCTACTGTGATTTCATCCTGTGGCACAACAGAAGGTTTTCTCTGCAGGCTCCTGACGGAAAATGTTTGCAGGTGCCAAGTGTTCTGTTAGGCAGGCTGGGATAGGGAGCTGGAAGTTGCAATTAGGGAGTTGTTGGGTTATTGATCCTATCACAAGAGCAAAAGGGGATAGGCGGTACTCCACTGGTGGACTGTGAAAGGGCCTCAGGAACAGCGTACACAGGTACAGTTGCATAGACAACTTTGAAAGTGCGCTCGGCAGGCTACAGGTCCTCTAATAGTGCTTGGCTAGTTTCCTCGAGAAGGATGGTCGCAGGATTAGGTGTTTCTCACACCAGCACAGCAGTTCAAAGGTGGAGAGAAGGGCACCTGTGGGCCAGCATACCTGGGAATGGCGTGCTTGTCTTCAGACACCTGAGATGGATGATTAGGTTCTAATTTACATTTAGGAAAATGGACTTAGCCATCATTATTTGTAGCCAGACTTCTTCATGAAGAAGAGTCTTGTTTCCTTAGCTGGAGCAAACCAGCTCCAGCGTGTCAGAAAACCTACTGGGCCAGAAACGGTTACTGGTCCGTGCTGGGCTTTGTTAACATGGTCAGATAAAAACTACTCTGCATGCCTTTTGCCTGAAATGAGCAGGGGAGAAAATTGTATAGACACCTTTTTTCTTGGGGCTCAAATTTCCAAACAAGTCTGGCAGTAGTGCCTAGTAGGCAGGCATCGCTAGAAATACTATCCTCTGCTGTAGCGCTGCCTTCCGCGCTCACCAGAAAGCCAGGAGAATGTTTCGCTTCTCAGTTTGCAATGGATAATTTAGCAGAGTCATTTCCTTACATGTGTAGTAACAAAAGATGATGCAGGAAAAGATGGTAGGTAGTTTTTATTTCCTATTTCAGGGTATAGTTCAGTGGTGTCTGTGTATCTTGGGCTTAAATGGCATATCTTTTACATGCATTACTGTTTGAGTGTG